TTGCGGGCTCTTCTTCAATCTTCCCATGTCCATTTTTCCTATTCGCTTCTCGATCTCTTTCCCTTTTCGTTCTCGAGGATCAGAGGAGGTTAAAGCAAAGATAAGAGAAAAAAAGATGAGATAAATGACGAAAGAGGATGGTTCTAATGGACTGATCCATCCTTCGATGAATCCGATAGACCCGTGTTTTTAAGCGTAAAAACATTCAATGCCGGGACAAAGAATCACCGTGCTAGAGGATTTACAGAGATTACGAATTCATTTTCCTCTTACGACAAACGTTCATCATTCTTGCTTAATTAATTAAGGGAATAATATTAAATTCTGCTGGAATGGCAAATTTATATCGGGCAAAATGTTTTCGTTTTGAGGAGAAATTCAGGAATGAAAATGCTTCTCCCCCATTATTCCACTTTCATTATTTTAATGAATTCGGTTGGCCTTATGTTGTGAACGTTTTTAGGATTTTCCGCCGTTAGTCTCCTCTCGTGGCCAGTGCGAAATTGCAAATCCCTTTGTGAAGCGAGTAAATGATGTTATCGTTAATTGAAACGGACCGGCTGCGCCCAAACCGCGCGAAATTGCAGGCCAGATACCTCGATAAAAACGAAATAAACGAATCGATCGCTTTCGAATCTTCTTCGCATCTCGAAACAAAAGCTTCCCATAAATTCAAAACATTTTTTTTTAAAACTCTATCATTCTCTCGGAATCTATCTTCTTTCTCTGAATATCGTTTCAGAGAATGATGCACTAACGAAACAACAATTTAATTACCTGTTTTACAATTTTTATAACGTAATATTCCGAATATTATTCCGTAATTTAAAAATTAATTATTTCCAGTTTGAAATTTGCGTTAATTAATTCCCTCTTTACGAAATATAAAATATAAATAAATAATATTTTCAATTCAAACCTTCTTTCTTCTTTTTCATCCTTCGAAATTTACGAACAAGAGTGTAAAGATACGAACACATTTGAGAGAAAAATTCTCGAGAGAGTTGCTTTCAATAACAATTTTTTAGTTAGTAAACATCGAAAGTAAAAATTACTCTCGAAAAAACACACTCCCTTGGATGCACCATCCTACTCGCGAAAAATATTCAGGAGCGAATTTCGAAAATTTCACTCTCGAGTAAACGCATATCCCTCCCCCCCTCTCTCCCTAGAAAATAGCTAGAAAATATCACACAGAGACCAGATGCACATTTCTCAATTTCAAATATCGCGAGTAATCAGAACGAGAGAACGGTTAACAGCTGTTCTAAAAAGGAACTCGTGTCTGAAAGAGGTGTGATAAATATATTTGGCTCATCCTATACGGATTTAGCAAAGATGGTAAGACGCGAAAGGTGGCGTGGATAAAATGACGTGCAACGTCGCTCGAGAGAAGAAGCTGCTCTCGGCGTAACGGGAGATAACGCGGACTCGTTTCTCGCTACATAAACTCATCTTCCACGGGGACAGATCTCGTCGAGCTATGGATACGCAACGAAAATTCTTTGTCCTTCGCGTTGAACGACCATGAATGGAAATCATTCGAGCGAAATAAGTACGAGAAATCGTGGTGGTGGTGGTAGTGGTGATGAGTTAAAAATGCATTACCCTCGATCATTGAGATTTCTGGTAAAAGAGAAATATAAAATGAAGGAAATTTTTATTATATGAAAATTATTTCATATGATTGAAAGAGAAAACGAGTTTGAAAAATTTGAAAATTGAAGAAGAAATTGTTGAAAATTATTAGAAAAATTGGGGATAATAAAAGTTCAATTTTTTAAATTAATTCAATTTGGAAATGGGGTAAGTTGGAAACAAGAAAAAAATGGTTATTTTAATATAAAGTTATTGAGAAAATTGGAAGATGAAACAAGAAATGAAATTTCAAGACAACTTAATTAGTTTGGAATTGGAAATGGAAATAGTGGAATTATTTCGGTTTTATGAAGTCTAAATTAGTTTTGTGATATATACAAAAGTATAATGATTATAATTTAAGGAGATAAAAATTGATGTAAAAAGATTTTAAAGAAAATTTCTCTCACTGATAAATAATTCGGATATTTAATTTTTAATTTCTTCTCTCTTGTTCCATCTCATGAATCATCTTTAAAATTTTGTTTACGCTAAAATTCCACGCTAAAATTCTTCGTAAATTATCATAATTATTTCCAACAAGTAAATACGACTCTTCAATAAATTCAACAGCATAATTCCAAATACAATTTTACACATTGATTAAATTCATTGTACGCTGCATAATAATACACCATTAACATTTTATTCTATGATTTAACGTCGTATAAATTGTCAACAATTATGAGAGAAAATTCGATATTTACAATTTGCATTTATTTTTATTAAAATTTATTATTTTTATTATAAAGAAAACATTATAACTTTCTTTTATTCGTAAAAGATGTAAAAACATAGAAATATTTGATTGTGCGTGTTATATCCTTAGAAATCCATGTGAAAAAAATTACAACTTGATATATATATAAATACTTAATATATTATTAAAAAATGAATTACTAACACTTAATCGTAGTCAAACATTCGTAAATATGACAGAAATTACTTCCATTTGTGCTATGTTAACGAACTCATGGCACGATACGCATGTGTAATCTTGAGTACACTTTCCATAGAAATATCTGATACAACACGAGAACCAGAAAGAAAGGAATAAATGACTTTTATATCTCTCAATTTTCAAAATTAATAAAAAACAAATTTAAATATTGAAATATATTTTTTAAGAAATTTAAAAATAATATAAGCTTAAGTAAATTCAAAAATATAAATCGATGAGAGAGATGGATAATACTAATGGAATATTGATTGAGAAGAAACTCTAAGATTTACTTAATACTTCTTTCCAATTGACCAAGAAACTTTTTATCCGTTTTCAGGTCTCATTCTTCTCGACCAGCCCAGAACTTTCCAACAAACAACGATTCGAATATTTCACGCGCACTATACCGAGTGACCATTATCAAGTAAAGGCAATGGTGGAGATCGTGATGAAAATGAAATGGAGTTACGTGTCTATCATATACGAAGAGAGCAATTACGGAATAAAGGTGAGTTTATATTAAAATTCAATATTACCCTTCTGATATGATAAAATCAATAATTAAAAAAAAAACAGTTCTCGTTTTATTTTAAGCTGTTCGTATGAATACAAAAAAGAATCATTTTAAACAGTTAATAGAAATAAATATTTTGCGTGCAACTCTTTTATATTTTTTTGATATTTTAACATTTTACCAAATTATCGACACGTAAATATCCATGAAATATACGAAATATCCATTGTTTCTACGTAGATGAAACGATGCACGAAATGCGTGAAGATAATTATTGGATTTATACGTAACTAACAATGGGGAAGTGTGATGGATTAACAGGGACACATCGATGGGAACAGGGGTAAATCGGTGATACGCGTGAAAAATGCGATCTCGTCCGTGTGAAATTTGAAACGGACAGTTGATCGATACGACCGCACTACGGTTTTGAAACAATGCATTTAACCGACAATGCGATCACCACTGCAACTATCCATTCCAGAAAATTCGTATTCCATCATACAGCGTACAACAGATTCCATCAGACGCATCGTAATATCCTTTCGTTTTTTTTAAATAAATGAATCCACGATCAAAATTTCGTCATGCATACATTCTTCGCGCGAAATGAAAAGTTCGATATTGTTGTCCAAATTTACAATTTGCAAATTGTTTTTTTCGATTTCGCGCCAAATATACATATAATAAAGTAATAAAAGTTATTTTATTTCGTCCCTTTCTTTCCTAGAAAAAAAAAGCGACAATTAATTTTAATAATTTTTTTCTAAAAACAATAATTTTTAGTAGAATTTACAATTTTTCTTTCTTACTTGTGACTTCAATTTTTTTTTTTTTATTTTTCTTTTCACGTCAAAAAATGAAGAAACATTTATCTAAGAGGAAGATTTTCGACAACATTTGGACTGGTTGCATTAATCTGCATTAATTTAAAGTCCACGAATCCCGTATTTCGAGCGATCACAATTCACCCAATATTTCACGACAATCCCCGAAACTACAACGTGTCTCATTTACTCGACATCTACGTAATCAAAACAACTCCCTGGAAAGCACTTTGCTTCTTTCTCTTTCGGCCACCTTGTGTTTAAAATAACAACCCGCTACGGTGCTACGCTTCCAGCTTTTCAACGAATTTATTTTCGGGCTCCCCTCTTCCGGCCTCGCGTCACGTTTCCTGTCCACGACCGACTACCGCCCTACTGTCACCGCCGCTATGCTAATCGGCCGTAATTAAAACCACAGCAAACGCCTGACGGATAGAGTTATTTTCGGAAATTATTTCCATCTCCCGGTCTCTAAAGATCCATGAAGAGATTTGCATAAATTTTCTGCGACATTTAAAAACTGGATAACGATTTCCAATACGTGTGTATATATTTTTTTTTCCCCTTAGAAAGTTGAAAAATAATTCTGATTAATAATTCCAATGCGAGACGAACGCGATTTCCAGATTGGAATTTGGATATAAATAAATTAATAAGTTGGATCATTTTATTGAAAGTGGATATGTTCGATCTTGAGAAAGATTAAGAATGGTTCTAAGAATTGGAATTGGATTTAAATTAATTGGTAAATAGAAGCAATTGCAATTGGTTCTTGTTGAATGTTGAAAAATGACAAATTTGTCTTCGATAACTTTTTTATCGAATGAATTTATCAATAAATGTATCATATAATGTTGCAACGAAAGTAAAGTATAAATACTTTTACTAATAATCTTCTTTAAGATCTATCATCTATTCATTAACAGTTTCTAACATCTCGAAAAGAATAAATTTCACTCCAAACGATTTCATGTTTGTGTTATTTTTAATATCTCCAGGAAAAACTTGGTGATATCGAAGTACAAGGAGAAATATAAATTATAAATTCTTCTAAAGCGAACATAGGTTCCTCTCTTGATAAAATCAATATCGCTTCAAACGAAATCTAATTTTACCAGGATAATTTTATCAATGCGATGATATTAATAATAAATCGATCTTTGAACGATAATCGTAATCGAGGTGTCGAAAAATGAAGGGAAAAAAGAGACAAATAAGAGAATAAAATTTCTCCACGCCGTGAAAAATGGGGAAAAAATTATACGCGCGCATCTTAAATTGATTCGTCGCGCGAAAGAAAACAATAGATAAGAGAGGGAAGTAATGAACAATGACCGTATCGCTTGCAGGACATCTTGGACAATCCCCCCGTTTTAATAACACGATCACGAAACGAATGCGGCGCGCGTGCATAAAGCAAATCGGTTCCACATCTCATTAGAATGTCACGACAACGAAATTAACAAGCAAGGGCAGTGTAAATTACCGGCGCATGCATCCGTGTAAATAAACGATTCGGGCGTTATGGCATCGCATTATCGATCCAAATCAATCGTTGCGTACTCGAATTTCAATATTAATGAACTCGTTGTGAGAACGAATCGACGTTCGACATGAATTTAATCTATGCCAAAGTGATCCCAAAAAAAAGTGGGGAGAGAAGAATAGGCAGAGATAAGAGACAATATTTATATTACTTATAAGCTTGATAAAATCGCGGAAAAGAAATAAACGAGAAGAAATGACCGGTTTTTAAAGAGGGATATACACGCGAGGGATTAGGATGATGAAAAAATAATAAAGTAATATGTATGGAGATACATCAAGAAAATAAGAATTATAACTTGGAAGAAGTGAGTCTCTGCTGGAGACTGATTTATTAATTTGTCCAATTATCACGAAAATAACTACGTTGGTATTTTTTAACGAAACGAATTTTAAGATTTTAAGAGAATTTTAAGACACTTCGTTGAGAAATTTTACGAAGAATTCTATGCTGAGCAAAATACTATGTTTGTATACATTTTGTATATATTCTTTTGCTCTAAAAAAAGAGAGAGAGAGAGAGAGAAAGCTTCGAAATATTTTGTGGAAATTTTTATTTCACAATTTTAACTTGCACGTTCAATCAATTTCCATAGTTAGAAAAGTTTCAATATACTTGATTTAATTGCTCGTCGTGCTATGCCTGTTGATATAGACACCGCAAATCGACCAATAGATCTTCCCATTCGTGTACGATCGCTATCAAAATCAAACATCTAAACTACCTACAGCCATTATCCGTGAAACAACATGGAACGACAATGTTAAAAAACAATTACCTTGGGGAGGGAAAAAAAAGAAATAAAAATAATATTTTAAAAAAAACAATCTCTGAAAGAAAATAATAAGATTCTCATCTTCATTCTCTTTATTCAAAAAATTTAAAACCAAAAGCGCGATTAATTTTATATTCGAACTGGAAAATAAATCAGTATTCGATCAGATTAAACTATTAGGCAACGAGTTTCAATTTGAAGAAATGGCGTCGAATAAATTTCTCGTGCTCAACTACATCATTGAACGAACATAGACGCGATTAGAATAGTAAAACCGGCTGGTTTTCATTGCACTCTGTTGAATACTTCATCCTAGACACGTTAAATCGCGTGCGCGTAGCCCACCTCACGATTTTTTCTATAGCTGGTTGAATAGAGAAAAAAGGAGAACAGAGACACGCGTCTAATTAAAGTCTTCTCGAAATTCAGGACTACGTAACAACTTGCGTGGTTCACGTTATCATCACGCCAGTTATGCAATTTTGCGTACACGCATATATTCGTTGAAATAAATTAATAATGATCAAATTATACTTGGCAATTATGAAATTCAAGTAGAAATTATCGTATCGTAATTTAGATTGTTGATTAATTTGAAAAGGGAAAAGGAAACTTATTGTTTTGAGAAAAAATTTTAAATTGGACGTGGCGAGTATTGAGAATATTGGAATAATTTGTTCGAAGGTTACGATAACCTTTGACCTCAAAAACTTAAGTTTGAGAACGCTTAGGAATGCTCCATGTCAAAAAACTTTGACACGGAAGAAGTTTATGATGGAAGAGTTCAAGCTTAAGAAGCTGAAACGTTGATCTTAAGATTTAAATCCGGCGACATCGAAAGTTGAAAATCAAAATTCCGATTCAAGAAGCTTTTTCGAGATCCCAAGATATTCAAATTTTAAAAATCTTAAAAATTCTATCGTCTCTCGAAAGCGACGAGATAAAAACGTATCCATTTCAAAAGCCCAAGGTTAGAAACCTCGATCCTTGAAGGGCCAAGGTTCAAAAGCCTTGACTTTAAACGTCGAATTAAACATTTCAAGATTAAAGGGAGTCTTATTTTTACTGTAGAAAAGAAACTTTCCAGCATAAAGCCGTGATGTCAACAATATGCCGGTCTATCTAACCCTTGATATCTTGATAGTTAATGTTACCACGTTGGAAAAGAAGATTAATGACCGTGGTATCTCGAAGGTGTTCCAATTACCATTCACGTGTCACGTAAACCATGATCTTACGTCAAGAAAAATGTAAACTCTTCGCATGGAATCCGTGGACGGAAAAGTGACAAGGTGGCGAAAGACAAAGATGATCGTTTGATCGATTGATATTAATATTCGGTGAGAGACGAGGGGTAGGTTTCTCTTATTTTAAGTAACGATCTATCTCTCGTGCTTCCATTCTTCGCTCAAAGCTGTAATAACCAGACGTCTGCACCAGTATTAAATTGGCTTTTACTTATTATACGTCACGCAAATATACGAGGAAATTGAAATTTCTCTTTAGATCAAAAACGAAGGAGTTACGTGTCCATTATTATGCGTATTCTATCGAAAACAATGGAAGGTCCACGAATATACAACGCGATCGGGGAACGATAAGAATTGCATGTTTCCAGCTAAATCTTGACAGATCGTGATAGATTATTCCGTATTCGTGTGACGTGAATTCGACTTATTTTTAAAAATAAGATCAATCACATCTTGAAAGGTACTTTTATTCTTTCATATGTATATGTGTATACATGTGTGGGTGTGTGTGACACGTGACGACGGAAATTAAACTTGTCAGATTTGTAGTTTATATACAGAGTGTCTCAAAAATATGAAAATATTTAATTGAAAATTGTCTGGAATAATTTCAATCTCTTTTATAAAAATTTTCGTTAATGAAAAACGTTGGTTAATTATGGAGCATAGACTAATCAAGACGGTGAGTATATAACATCGGCTGTACACGAACAACTCCAAGCAACATGTGTCAAAAAAATGTCTATTGAATGTAACAAATTGGCCAATATTTTTTTCGTTAACAAAGTTTTATAACGAAAGTTTTTACAAAGGAAAATTTGTTGAAATTAGAATTTCAATTGATCGATGCTTCCACATTTTTGAGATAATTTGTATAATTAGCTTTCACGAATAAAATTTCAGGAAAGGAAACGTAGATGACTGTGATAAATATTAATTTTAATCAAATTTGATAAAATTGATCGTTAAATGTAAAAAAGGAAAACCTCCTTTATTTAAATGCTTATAAATTAGACATTAAAATGTTGATAATGAAAATTGGAAGGATCGAAAATTTTCGTAACGAAAAATAATAAATCAATTTCAAAAATATTAAATATTTCATAATCCTTTGATCTTCGTTTTAACTTATTTTACATATGTACATCAAACTGTACTTTATACTTTGCTTGTAATTTATCATAACTCACCACGTGCTCTATCATTGCAGAACAATGGACAGTGCATGACCAATGCAGCGCCATTGACCTAGATATTGATTTAAAAATGACATAAGCATGTTTTTTTTCCCCCTATTTACACATATATCCCAGTTGAAAAAATTCTTTGTTAAGAATACAGGATGCATTCCTCTCTATGAATTCCACTTTACACACGAGATAATGGAATTCATAATTACCATGAAATTGAAGCGGAAGAAAAAAATGAAATGAAACACACTATCTTCTCCAAATTATCGTATTCGAGAACGATATATTTTTATTTGTAAAATTTTTATTTAATTCTATTACCAGAGAAATTGCAATTTGTTTCTATTCTTCCATATATCTCTTTTCTCTTTCTATTTACAAATATAATACAATAGGATTCGTAATTATTATAATAAAGAAGAAAAAATTCATTACCAAATTTTTTATAGTACTGTTTTTTTTTCAAATAAAAATTACAATTTATTATTAACATCCTTTATCGTTCGTACAAAATAATCCATCACTTTCATAAAACAATGTAATTTATAATTAATAATTGCATTAACAAACGAAAAAACGAAATACCATTCTTTACAAAAAAATATCAAACTAATGAGAAATATTATATTTTTTTCTATAAAACATAATCGAATGCTATTAGCCTAAAAATACAATTTACTGTTCTTTGATCCACCCACCCATCCGCTTTTCCTTTCACTGTGCGCGTGCACTCGATATAAAACACCCCATCATTTCTATTTCTCTCACTCTATCACCCTAATATCCATGCTACCACACCTATTATGCGTGTCTCATGAAAATGAAATTGGCCTTCTTCCAGAAACTTTCGTCAAAACGTCCGATTCTCGTTCACGAACACTGTTCGCAAACGTTATTCATTGCACGTTGTTCGCGGAATATTGTCCACATTTCACGAATTGTTGCGAACAAGGACAGAGATCCATCCTTAAAAAGAGCCTTTTTCGAGGGTAACAGTTTGCCACTCCAACGTGAGTGGCCTGAGAATAATTTCGATAGGTCCACGTGTTACATTAAGACGTTAGGGGAAGGAGGAATTACGTGAAAAAAGTTTGGCGAGTCACGTTTCTGCAATAACATTTTCTCATTAATCTCCGTGCAACCGATGTGCCGGTTGTTCTCTTATAGGCGAAATATCGTTGCTTCGAAAGATCGATTTAAGAAAAATCGGGTCAAATAACCAGAGTTCCAGATTGTTTTAAATTGAAATAAAAGACGAGAATTAAATTCGTTTTATGCACACGTGTCTCATCGTTTCATTTCGTAATTTTACAATTACATCGCATAATTGTCATATCTGATGCTGAAGTACCGAGCATGATAATGTACGAACTTCCCAAAACCGCATACTCGGAATAAATTTAATGTCGTGGAAGATTATTTAGAAGTAAGTGCATCCCTCTTACGAGAATTTATTCAACACTTAAATATCATTCACCCGTGTTTCACTCTAATTAATTCATTTTTTCTTATTTCTCAGTGTAAATTAATATAAATTATAACATAAATTATATCGATATAAATATTCGGTACAAATCTAATCTGTATTAAATTGTTTCAAAAAAGTGGTTATTATTTAACGAAATAAAAGTGGATAATCTATAGATATTTTCCATTATCGTAAAAGGGAGAAATTATCATAAAATGCCGTGTGAATATGTATGTATGTATATATACATATATAACATTCATTAATTCCACATGACCAACGAAATCATGAAAACCTCGTTTTCCGGGCTGTGATTTAGAAGAAAATTGCCGGTGCATAAAAGTAGGGGAAAAGAAGAGAAAAAGAAGAAATGAAAAGAGTAAAAGGCTGTTACATCTCTAGATGTAAAATGGGATGATGGAACATGTATAAATGGCGCACAATGCGGAGACACGCTAGGTCTAATAATTCTCTTGAATCTTTAACGACACCCTCCGGTGATTTCTTCTTTCTTTCCCGATGTTCCAACTTTAGCATTACTCTCCCCTCCCCCCCTATGGAAACCTTCATTTTCTCTTTTTTTTTTTTTTTTCTCCAACACATTCCCGCTGAATATTTTATTTCAATATAATGCTTATCCTCGCGTGTGCATCATCATTGCCGTTAAAAAGAGATTCGAAACGAAGGGAAAGAGATCGAAACGATGTAAATTACCGTTCCGCGTGTTTGCTCTTTTTTTTTTTTTTTTATCTGCTGGATATGTATGCAGCGATGAATAACGAGATAGGAATCAGTGAAAACCTTGTTCGAATCGATCATTTGACTGTCTTCGTGTAATTAAATGAGAGATAAACGTGCGTAATTTTACGCCGATTTATGATAAAATATTTGTAAACGATTATTGTTTATCTTGAGAGAATGGAATTTAAAATTTTCATCTGGAATTTTGGATGATATTGAGTTTTTTAAAAGTTTTTTAAAAGGATTCTAAATTGAGCAAAGAATGGTAGAAAAGAATGCTGGCATCGAAATCTGATAACTATTATCTGAACACGAGTTCACATTCCTCTTTTACACATTCTCGTTTCACAATTTAAGATTCATTTGATCGTAAACATAATTATGAAAAAATAAAAATTCGAGCTGATTGTGGGAATGTTGTTCGTTTGATTACAGGCGTTCGAAGAGCTGGAAGAATTGCTAGGTAAAAGGAACATATGCATAGCTATCAAGGAAAAATTGGTGAAAGATTCTGGGGTTGCGAAAGATGCGGCTTACGACAATATCGTTTTGAAATTGTTGACCAAACCGAGAGCACGAGGTAAGCCATATTTTTCATAATTTTTTACAAAATTGTTTAACTATACTCAAGAAAATTTAAAGACATAAGTATCTTTTAAAATTTTAATTCAAAATATTTTCTCCAATCGCGTGTCTATGATGTATTTGCTACGCTACAAGATGAAAAATTTCTAACAATATCTAAAAAGTCTAGAAGCATTTTTTAGACAAATATTTGGACCGTCTATTGCAAAATCTTCGATACAAAATCATTCAAAATATTCTCAACAACACGGTTCTTTCTTGTAATCAACGTTTCACAGAGGGAAGAGAGATTCTCGAATCGTCAAACGTACACGTGAATTCCACGAAATCACGAGAGCTTCATTCCAGTTATCAAAGTATAATGGCGCGATAAAGTATAATGTATCAAAGGGACAGGATCAATCGAAACAAAACAGAGGAAGATCCATCGATGTGGAATTGAAACGAAGAAATACGAAACAAAGATATCTCTAGAGGAATAGGACAAGAAAGGAAAGGAGGAAAGATTTTGAATGATAGAAATTTTTATCTTTAATTTGCAATTTTCTATTTCATTATCAAAATGGAAACTAGAAGACGATACTAATCCAGATAAAACTTGAATTCCTGAAATTTAACTTCTCTTTCGAAATAGAACGTGGAGAACCAGCTGACTCTCTTTCTTTCTCTCTCTCTCTTTTTATTTTCAGAGAACCGGTTCCTTTTTCAAAGTGGAAATGAACGTTTTTAATCAGACACGAGAAAGTAAAATCGATACTGTTCGTGAAAATTTTGTTATGCAAATTAATGCTATTAACTTTTTGCGTAGTTTTTAATTGTCGAGTTAGGACAATTAAAAATTTTCAATTTTCTTTCTATTCTAATAAAAATGTTATCAAGATATTATGGTATATAATTGAATATTTGAATGAGAAAGGAATTAAATTTTGTCAATGAATGGAATACAAATTTTGAAAAAAATTAAAATTTATTCATTCCTAATATAATGTACGATATATTTTTTAACTAATTTCACAAATAACAATTGAATTGCAATGAAATTTCATATATACTCGAATGGACTCAAGGACAGTGCACGAGCTAAATAATCAATAGAGTTTAAATGCTTGAAAAGCAGATACTAATAAATTAATTGTTCTCGTGTTCATAATAATTTAATATATATTTATATCCTTCATGAGTTATTTTAAATAATTAATGAGTAGTAAATGTCAAATGATTAAAAGTAGGCAATGATAAAATAATTATCATTCATATATTTAATAATAATTTAATATTGTATTTAAAAAAAAAATAGAACGCTTTCGAGTATATTGCAGAACGTAATTAATTAAAAAACAAATCTTTCGTAAAAGCAGAGCCATTACACGCGATATAACTTTTGTATTTACTCTTAAAGTTAATGGCGCGTTGCAGGGCATTTTCATGCGCATCGCAACCCCTGGAGAGAGAAGTTCGATGTATCGAAAAATCTATAAAGTTTTTAATGTCCATACATACAAAGTTAGAATTACACCGATTAAAATTAAGCTATGTGTAAGCCACGCTCGTACGTATAATGCTCGCTAAGGGATAATAGAGATTACCGAATTTTTCATTAAAGTTTGACCATACAAATCTTCGACCCCATTAATAAACTTTCTGCCCATTTATTTTAAACTGCTCTCTCAACTACAATTACGATTTCCATATGCTTTTAGAAATTCTAGGAAATCGCCCGAAAAACTAACTACCATTTCTCTTTAATTTGCCTAATTTCGTGTAAAAATTAAATACGTGAGAATTCGCTTTTTGAACATTTTTTTAAGAAAAAAATAATTAAAAATATAATACCAAGTTCAGGAATTTTATTAAAAGTTCTGGAGATACCAAATCACAACACGGTTAATTTATTTTAAGAGGGAAAAATGAGAGTATAAAGGTGAAAGTGTGTTATTATTCAAAACGGTTAAAAATAATCGGATAATTTAATTTTTATGGTTTATAATTTTTTAGATTTATTAAATTCTCGGCCAAAAATGAACATATACCTTGTTCATTATACCTTGGATTATCATACAAATTACGAATTTTCTTTATAACTATTCAATTATATATGTATACTATATTTCTTTATAAGTATCATACTTTGAAAATATTTAAATTTGAAATAAAAAAAAAATAAAATAAAGAATTACATCCTATCCTATATGTTCAAATATACGAAATTCTATTATATCTATCCAAAATCGTTGTTTTTATATTTTACACTTATTTTTAGTATTTTAAATTTTCTTTCCGTAGAGAGATATTAAATAATACTTTATGTCACGTGAAAATTCATCATATTCGAAATATGTCAAGGAAACACAAACTTTCGCACGATTATACGAGACTAGCCACCTGGTGTTCGCGAAAAAAGAAAAAAAAACAAGAAAACTTAACGACATTCGTATCAAAAAAGGATACAAAAGTATTAAAAAGGAAGTTTTGATAAAGTTTTGTACAAACATAGACACACATCCATAGAATATATAATTTTACGCTATTAATTATTATAAAAATCCACGAGAATCGATCGAGTTCGTTATATGAGAAATCCTTTTTTAACCAAGAATTTCTTTTGTTTTTCAAAAAAAAACTTTAGCTCTAATCCACATCTTTCATCAATGCCTCTGCCATTGTGCGATTGTTTCATTCTCATTCAACGGATCGCAATTACACAGTTGTACTGCAAAATAGAGGGAGTAAATTTACTACCGTTTAAATGGTACTCGCGGCCTAAAGTTTCTCTCTGTTGAAACTCCGGCCCTCGTTAACCCTCGTCTGCCCTTTTATCGATACTAACGATCGGCTAGAGTCGAAAATTACTCTCCAAACTGAAGAATTTGAAATTCGTTCTGTGAAATATGCCACGTCTTAACCTTGCAAAAAATATCGTCCCTATAAAAAACTGATCGAGCAGCAATTTTTCTGATCCATCTTTAGATCCATCCCGTTCTCGAAGATTAAGGTCTTTACTTAAGCTTTCGAGCTCGGCGTCGAAAAAGAAAAAAAGAAAAAAAGAAACGGATGTAAAGATGTAAAACAGGTGATTACACGATGCAAGGATTCTTATGGGAATTTAGATTAGAAGATGAGAAGCAGTGTGGCGTGAAAAAGAAAAGGATAAAAAAAAAGAGAGAATTAGAAGGACGTTTCTTTCGAGGATCGTAATTTGCATAAAATAAAGATACACCTTCTGCGTTTCAGTTTATCGAACAAAAATGAATCCCGGCGAACGATCTCGAACCGAGTTTGGATTAAAAAAGTAAAACACGAGGTAAAGTTTGGAAGCGAAAATTGAACGATTGTGCTTCTTTAAAGCAAAGACTGGGACGATGAGTTTGCTTCTCTCGAGTCAACAGTAATATATATTGAAAGAGTAAGAAAGGAGCGAGGGATAGAAAAATGGAATAGAAGCGGCAGGGTGGAGCGTGAAATTTCTAGAAATATAACGCGTAGTAGAATTATATACCAGCTATCAGATTGCCGTGTTTCGATGAGTTTCGTTTTCGCGGAGAAATTAATTACGTCACCTGAGAATCAGAAAATCACCTGAACGAAGGAAGGAAAAAGAGATCGAATTAAATTAAACTCTGGAAAACCTCAAAATACCTCTCTCTTCTTGCATTTCTTTTCATTGCAAACGATAAAAAAATATCTTCCCACTGCCAATATAAAATTTTGCAGAATAAATTCTTGATATTTATAAAAGCTAGCTAGTCTGAAAAATCTCTTTAATATTTAATATTTAAAATTATATAAAATCGTAAATAAGAATTCTCTTATCTTATATCGATCTCGATCTGATTCCTATGCCTTTTATAAATATTCTTCGCCATTAATTCGAAATTCAGTTCGAGATAATCTTTGAAAACAGGATGATTAATTAAACAGAGATGGAATTTATAAATTTATAAATATATTTATAAATTTCTAAAAATAATTAAATATAATTTATAAATTTCTGGAAAAATATTTTGCAAAAAATATTTTGAGAAATTGTTAGTTGAGAGTTAATCGATCGTTTCATCGTCTGTCTGATCAGGTTGCATCATATTCGGCTCGGATCAAGAAGTTGCCGGAGTTATGAGGGCGGTTAAACGTTGCAATGCGACCGGTGCGTTTTCGTGGATTGGCAGCGACGGATGGAGCGCCAGGGGGTTGGTTAGCGATGGTAACGAGGCGGAAGTGGAGGGCACTCTATCGGTTCAACCTCAAGCAAATCCTGTCAAGGGTTTCGAAGAATATTTCCTCAATTTGACGGTCGAGAACAACCGGAGGAATCCGTGGTTCGTTGGTAAGCTAACGAGCGAAACACGCGAGCCTCGTTAAACTTCGTTAATTCTAACTTTCGCGGACTACAACTTTCCAATATCGATTCTATCCATATCGTATTTATTATCTAACACCTAAGTAAGATTTAAACGAAACTATTTGAGCCGAGTGAGACGAACGAGATGAACGAGATGAATGACACGCGAGCCTCGTTAAACTTCGCTAATTCTAACTTTCGCGGACTACAACTTTCCAATATTCTATCCATGTCGTATTTATTATCTAACACCCAAGTTAAACTATTTGAACCGAGTGAGAAGAGCGAGATGAAGAAGATATTTCTTTTCCATATGTTTCGGATACAATTTTACGGATTATTTGATATTTTGAAAAGATAATTCACGGTGAGAGAGAGAAAATATAAATAAAATTTGTTACAATTTACAATAATATTTAAACGAAAGGTGTAATGTATTGTAATGCAATATGTGGTAAATCGTTTTAGAATTCTGGGAACACCACTTTCAGTGTAAATACCCGAACGCATCCATAACTCCGTACAACAAAAATTACACGAAATTCTGCACTACGGAAAAGCGTTTGACGAAACAGAACACAGCGTTCGAGAATCAACTCCAATTCGTGTCCGACGCGGTGATGGCGTTCGCCTATGCATTTCGGTAATTCAATTTTCACGAATTTATTATCAAACAAATTTCGCATGATATTCCCCCGTGACAAGCGTGCTATAAATATTCCCCGTTCAGAGATATGCACAAAGAGCTCTGCGATGGGAAACCTGGACTGTGCGACGCGATGAAACCTACCAAGGGTACCGAACTTTTGAAATATCTTCGAAAAGTGGATTTTGAAGGTAAGAACAATTACTCACTGATGAAACGTTCCACTTATTAGTTCCTTTCGAGACGATCCATTCGTCGTTTTTTAAAATACGAAATATAAATATTTCCAAATATCAAATTTATATTTCGAAAAGAAAACTTCCAATAGTTGCACGCTAGTTTTCTCGTATATATATATATATATATATATATATGTATATGTAATT